GGTTCTGACAACAAGATCAATAAAATCTTCTATGAGAAACCTTGTTTATATTTGTAAAGCTTTTGTTTATAAAGTTATTTATATAATTGTATTACGATTTAAATCATTGTAAATTGTAACACAATATAATATATATATATATATATATATATATATATATATATATATATATATATATATATATATATATATATATATATATATATATATATATATATATATATATATATATATATATATATATATATATATATATGTATATATATATATATTATATATATATATATATATATATATGTATATATATATATATATATATATATATATATATATATATATATATATATATATATATATATATATATATATATATATATATATATAATATATATATATATATATATATATATATATATATATATATATATATATATATATATATAAATATATATATATATAAATATATATATATATATATATATATATATATATATATATATATATATATATATATATATATATTTATATTGGGTGGACACGGAAAAATCCGGTCAACTTTAAATTGAGATTCTCCTGAAACCACAAAAGCTTTTAATTTATTCTATTTTTAATTATTAATTAAATGTTGCTTCCTTATAATTAAATGTGTTAATAAACATTTGTTTACAAATCAGTGATTTGTCTAATTTTTTGAAAACTAATTGAGGTGCGTAAAAACGTGAATTTTTTTTTCAAAAACCCATTGACTACATATCGCTTGATTGCTAAATGTACAAATGTCCCAAAATCTACAACAATAAATATTATAAATTAGTTTAATACTACTCAAAGCTTCGAAAGAAAAACCTTCAAGTGGAAGAAAGAAAGCTTTTCATATATTCAAAAAGGTAAAGTCGATTCTCAGTTTAATAGTAAGAAATCCTTACCACTCATAGCGAGATCTAGCACGATAATTAAAGACTTCGCATTCTTATATCAAAAAAGTACTTAGAAATGCTGAAATTAATGCATTTCATATAAAAAATACACTTAAGAGAAGCTTAAATGGTGAAATAAAAGAAGTTTGACGCTGATAATTGTGTGCGAATAATATAATAAGACAACAAAACATATATCAATGCGTTACATATTGTTGAATAATATAAGGCAACAAAACATATTGCAATTTTTCACAACTTCCTAGTCAACAGTTTTACTATGAAAACAAAGATAAATCTGTCAAATATCTATTTATTATATACAATGAAAAAACTTTGCATCCAAGTTTCTATTGTGGCAAGCAATTTGTAGCTAAGTCAAGGTCTTTTTAGTGATAAATTTATTTATCATTAAAATGACCTTAACTTCCAATCTCTACACCAAAAAATGCCTCCAAAATAGACTTTTTCCATTTATGAAAAAATACAAATACCTATGTCTCTTTTGGCCAGATCTTGCTGGTTCTCACTTTTTTAAAAAAATTTTACATTGGTGCAAATATAATGTGAAAATTGTTCTTAAAATAATGTGAAAATTGTTCCTAAAGATGTGAGTTCTCTAAATTGTCATGAGGAGCGAAATATATATATATATATATATATATATATATATATATATATATATATATATATATATATATATATATATATATATATATATATATATATATATATATATATTTATATATATATTTATATATATATATATATATATATATATATATATATATATATATATATATATATATATATATATATACATATGTATATATTAAAAATACAAAAGTGTTATTATTCATTATCAGGAAAAGTTTTTATTTTAATTAACCATTTTCCGAGAAGAAAAAAAAATTTTGATCATTTCAACTATATTATTTTCAAGCATTATTAGTAATCTATTTTAATAGAATTATGGTAATTCTATTTAAAATTCAACTTTCAACAAATAAGCAATAGTTTATTTATCCTCCTTTAATAGGGTTGTTCAAAACACAACATTTTTGAAATTATCTGGAGCTCTCACCTTAATGTGTTCTATATGATAAAATAACACTAGATTTAAAATTTTTTTGAATAAAAATTATTTTAAGTGGTACCTCAAGACCCATGAACATTTAATGGGTTGCATTAATAAAATTTTTTTTATAAAATGATGATTATTTTTTAAATTTTTATATAATTTCGTTTCATTTGAGACCCAACAAGACATGCTTTAAAAATTTTGTTTTGTTTTGTTGGTCTCAAATGAAACAAAATTATATAAAAATTTCAAAAAGGATCATCTTATAAAAAAAAATATTGTTTTAGCTTTTACTGCCTAGAAAATGACTTTTATCAACTAAAATTAAAAATTATGCGTTCTTACATAAGTTTTTTAGGTTTTTTCAATTATTTTATAAAAAATTAATAACAAATTAATATTAGAGTTTCTTGGTTTGATTGATCAATTTTATTACTGAAAATTTTTGAAAAGTTTTTAACAGATGCAGATCTGAAGTTTACACCACCTTGATGTATCAAGCTTACAAAATTGCATATGATTTTAGCTAAATCATCTTATCATTTACTAAAAATAGATATTTGGACTGATAGAAAAATACAATCATTTCTTGCTGTCTCTTTCTGTGTTTTTATAAATGGTAAACCACACCA